GTTTCCCAGGGAAACAATAGGGGGTGGGGGGATGTCAGGAACAGCTGAGCATAAGACAGAGCCAACAATGACTGTGCAGAGGAGCACAATGGAATGACACAAGAGGAGAGATACAGGAGAAGAGTTTCACTCCAACAGAGATTACGGAAGAACATTTCAGGTCCTTCTGCAGTCGTATTTTAGATTTACTATACTGCAGAATAAACGTTTTGTGAACTCCTCTATTTAACTAACATTTATGTTTGTACTAGTTAGCATTCGTATCCATGTGTAGCTAGATAGCTAACATCATTGTTAATCGTGAATACAAAGCAAGATTAGTTTGTAACTTGCTGACAATGACATTTGCCTCACTATCAATACGCCAAGCAAGTCCATTTAAAGCAATAAACCACTGACTGACGATTGTGTAAAAATAGGGTTCTCTGTGTGGTGCTAATGGTGTCTAGGAAATGCTTTGTTTCACTATCCTGAAATGTGGATTTTTGGAAAAAGAAGTTTTTCATTGGACAGCAACACCACACACACACAGACACACACACACACATACATACATACCCCAGATGACATGCTTTGTGCGCTGCTGAGTCTGTAAGCACTGCGGGGACCCAGCAGTCCAGACCACTGGTCTTATCCACCACTGGATTAGCATCACTGGACTGCGCCTGCATTTCCATCATGCAGCTACGCCACAGGAACGTGAGCAACAAGCAAACACGTGCTAATCCACAAGTATCCACTGAGTGACGTCTGCATAGCCTGAAAATCTAAAAATAATCCGCCCCCCTGCCCTCCCCACACACACAGGTTCAGCTCCTCTCATTACTTCACAGGAGGAAGTGATCGTATCCAAGACAACAGCAGGCAGTATTCCGGCTTTTCCCCCCTCCTACTTCACCATGGCAACAAGGCAAAATGTGTAATAATATGGAGTAAACTACAGTCTTACACAACACAGTAGTGTTAAAATGTACTTTCGCAGGTTACCGGCATCTATACGCTTTCATCTGTACTGTATATTTTTTGACAGACGCTGCAATGCAAGAAATGTTGCTCCCTGCTAATCACAGCAAAGTCTGGTCATGTGACACTGGGTGATGCAGGCAAATTTCAGCAGAACTGGCTTAAATGCCAGCTTAACTGTCCAGGTCAGTGGCCCATAAGGAACACTCAGCCTTTTTCTCACAAACAGAAATTACGAGCACGGGTGCACAATTACACAAATCAGATCATCTGTCCCACAATCACTTCGTACGACGGTTTGTCCAATAACCCAGCATTCCCAATCTGCGGAGGCGGGGCTTATTCGTCTGGCGGCAAAACCCTCTGTGCAGCAGATCCCAGAAAGCTGCATTCAACTGAAGGCCATGCAACCTTCCCAGAACTGACCCCTTCACACAACATTACCCATAATCGCTATGGTAAACACTGCACACTGTGCACCACCAGTACACTGCAAGGCTGCACACTGTGCACCACCAGTACACTGCAAGTATGCACACTGTTTAAATCACACAAATAAAAGGGAGACGAATTAATAATCCGATTTTTGCCCCAGTCAGCCCTGCTTCTCTGCCTTGTTAGCATGCACTGACTTAAAGATACTGCTGCATTTACCATAAAGATGAGAGAAGCTTGAGCCACTGGGCTCACTACCTCAAAGAACAAAGTCACAAACCACGTACCGCAGCACTCAGTTTACAGGTTACCTAGTTACTCGCAGGTGTGTGATGTGCATTAACAGCTCGGCAGTGACGTGTAACTTTCCATAAGAAGTACAGGGCATAAGGAAAGTTACGACACACCCTGGATGGGAGGCCAGTCTGTCACAAGGCGTGCACACACACTCACGCGTACTGTTCACTACAGGAGAGGGAGAAAAACAGGAGCAGGAGCTGGAGGAGCCCACACACACGATCAGACAAACCACTCACAGAAACAACTGGAGATGTTAGGTGCCAGTGTGTTACTAACACTGAGCCACTGTGACACTGAACGTGCATAAATCACATGCAAGTATTCTAATCTGGGAAAATCAACTAATTTAAATGAGCCAGATCAGACAGGAGGGACAGTCGTTCTGATCTAATGACACACCCCCACTAGGCAACCAGGAGCAGTATGATTTTCATTTTATACTGGTTTCCACACCAAAAAGCAAATCTTCCCAGTTACCAAGACTGCTTTTAGTGTAGCAACAAAAGTACTCTGTGAACGGCAACTGTGCATCCAAAAAATAACTGTGATAGATTCTAGCATCCTTCCACACTCCTACAACTGCAATAAAGCCATCGTTTCTGCACAGAAAGTGTTAACAGCCAAAACTAACACATGTAAAATACGGAGCGCTCAGCACAGTGCTAGAGAGAGTGATTCCAGCATGCCTTAAACTCACTATACAGCTTTGATAGTCTATGCTCATGAATATTAATACACCAAAGGCTTTATAAAATGTGATTTAGTGGCTCCAAGCTCCTTTCATTTCAGAATATTATGTGTTATTCTGGCTTATTGCAGGACTAATGAGCTCTAACTGAAAATGGCATCTCCCCAGGGCTTTCTGTCCCCTAGTGAGGCCATCGTAGGAAAAGCAAAACAACACAGACCAGCTCCTGCAGGTTTTGCCAAAGGCCCAACTGCATTCACACATCGAGCCCCTATTCCCGCGACGGTAACTGCTACACAAAATTATGAATGCCGCTCCTCGTATCTGCTGTGGGACTGTACACCAAATGCTGGCGGCCACATTTCTGAAGCTTCTGCTACCAAGGAATCAAGCCTTTCTCACTCAGCATTCTGCCTCTGGACTCATGGGAAAAGAGAACCTCATGGCGTAAAAATTATGTACGTGTCAATATTACTACTAAACTCCCATATAAGCAAGAGGTTATAGACCGTATGATAAAACACATTTTATTACTCTTGAAAGCTCCAATAAGAACACATGATGTCATCCAACGGTGTAAAAAATAAATATAATTTGAGTGGATTTAATACCATGACACACATGTTCTTATGTTCAAACAAAAACATAAAAGTTAAATGTAGCGAATAGAAATAGTTTGCTCTGCCTGAAAATCACACACACAATTTCGTTACCAAGAGAGTGGCCATCTTCATACATAAGGATGGGGGAGGGTGAAATGCAGTTCTTAGCTCAGTAGCAGTAGCCTTAATGATCACTACGGCAACACGGCACAAGCAGCAACAGAGTCCCTGTCTACCCAGAACTGCGCCGCCACACGCAGCTCCAGCAATGCAAAATTATTACTCCAGTAAGGAAAAATCAAAGCCGGGGCCAGCAGAGACGGGAGAGGGGGGTCCTGCGCACAAAGTCGGGCTCCGTGCTCTCTGTCCCCATACAGCATAGGCCACGGCTCGGCGTACTGTCGCAAGTGGAAAGCAACCAGATAAACCCCGATAAGACAGATACGGCACCTGCAGGACAAGCTGCAAAACAGGCACCATCACGCAGCCGTGCAAATGTGCCAGTGGGTGACCGTAATTAGGAACTTCGGTCAGCTCACCGGCCCAATGATTACAGCCAGTTACTGCGATGTTACAGTGTAACGCGTAGGTGGTACAGCGAGAAAAGGCCCTAAGCGGGCCGGAGCGCTGCCACTATCACCTGGGACCTTAAAGTGATACTAACAGATAAGTTCAAAACAGAGAAAGCAGACAGGCGAAGTCTCCGGTGTTACCGGACAAGCACAGCACCAAGAGTTTCAAAATTGTTTCAGCACATTGTGACTTCGGTAAATGTTTAACAAGATTTAAAACAAGATTCTTAAATCATTTACTACAATTACATGACAGTTCCTACACATTTGCAAATACTACGCAGTATAATATAATATAAAGACAAAACGCACGGTGTAAACTGAGACGCCCATAGAATAAAACAGCTATCTCTATTAAACATCTAACGTTCTGGTCATTATCCATATGAGAGATCCTGCTAAAATGCAGTGTACATACGTATATGTGCCTGCTGTATAGGTACACGTTTGCTGCAGGTGTGGGGTGAGGATTTTTTTTCCTAATAAAGGCATGTGTGAGTGATCAGCCTCGCACATCACCTGACGCGAGTACGTGCCTGGAGCTGGAGGAGAGCCCAGGAGAGCAGGCGAGGATGGAAAGCTGTGTATGATAGCGCCTTTAACTGCTTAACCTACTCTAAGATCTTAGGCATCGCTTTGGATGGCTATCCGTCTTATTACGGCCATGCAGAGAAGTTCAATCCTCAGAGGTCAACAGTGATCACATCTCCCTTATTTGAAACCGAGGTCGATGCGCACGGCAATTCTTTCCAAAGTCCTCCATATCATTTACGTCTTGGGCTCATCCCACCGAGAAAAACTACGGGATGCCGAATTTAACATAAGAGAGTTCACATAATAGTCCATCTTCGAGTAACAGCCAACTATACAATGGACACAGTCCTGATATGCATTCAATGACAAATTTCTTGACATACTAAGTCTTCAACAAAACACATTCCCACGTCCATACCCTTTGTGCAAAACGATATACACAATAGCATTGTCTAATGGCATCGGTGTGTGAATACGAAGCGATGTAAGAGGCGATTAATTTAAAGAGCCATTCCGTATTGTTCACGTACTGAAACCGACGCGGTTAATATCCATTACCCGTAAAAGGGTTGAATTGCGGGGAATCTTGTTCCAGTCCAGCTTGTTAATCAGCCATTGTCCTTACGCGAACTCGAAACACTGAAAAGCACATTCAGGCGCTCAATAATCCTCCGTTGACGGGATAAGGAGACCGATCGTAATCATATACATACATTATTACAAGGAGAATAAGGGGATACTATCCGATAACACACTACTCCAAATAAAGCGTCGCAGCACCTCCTGAGCAAAATGAGCATTTAAGACGGCGCTCGGTCACAGTCCGCGTACAAGAAAACACCCAAACCGCGCGATCATATTAATACAATTATTTAATAGTAGCCTATGGCTTAACGTACGGCACACCTATTCACAGCCGCTCACCTGTTCTGTCCAGCGGTCCCGTCGCTGTCTGAATCTTATTCTGGGTTTATAATGCTACTGAAATGTCAAACCGCGCTTTAGTCGCGGCTCTGACATTAAAGGGGCAACTGCATCCCTGGTGCCGTGCGGACCCCACCAAGCATATTGCGCCTTATCACATAGAAAACACACTGTCTGGTATTTTACCTAAAATATAAAATGTGTCTTTTTCATTTCAGCAGCAGACGTATAGTGTAAATATTACCAAATTGCAGTTTTGACGTTACTAATCTTATACATCTAGCTATCTTCGAAGTGCATAGTCGAGGTGAAATATTATACCAATTCATCCATCTTTCACCCGCTTATACTGATGTGGGTCGCGAGGGTGGGGGGGTGGGGGTGCTGGATCCTATCCCAGACAGCATAAGGCACAAGGCTGGATAGGACACACAACACAGAGTGCAGTCCATCGCAGAGCACATGTGTAGTCGCACATTACATGCGATTTTAAAAGACCAGTGCGCCTCACTGCATGTCTCCGGACAGTGATTGGGAAGCCATGGTACTCATACACAAATCCCGCAGAATATGAGCACTCCACACACCCTGGAGGTGTGAAACAAGAGCACTACCCACTCTGCTACCCCACTAAACACTTAGGTGCATTAAAATCCCTAATTGTATTTTCCCTGTAAAACTGGATTGCTCTACATTAAACACATTTCACATCCAGTCGTCTTCCAACATTCTTGTCCCACAAAGAACACGGATGATCCAGGGAGCAGTACTATCTACTAAGCCACTGTGCCACCCTAAATCCAGACATATGTATGTGCATATTACCATGGGTCCCGTAAAGGGGGGTGAAAGGGCCTATGAGCGACAGGGTCTCTAAAAAATCTGGCAGATATATAATTGGATTGGTCTGGGTTGGGGACTCAATATATATTTTCGTGGGGCCCAAAATCTGTAGCGGTGCCCATCTATATAGCGTGGATCCTGGGCAGGATGCCAATTCATTGAAATTCACCAATATTTTTAGATATGAGGGAGACCATGTGATTATTCGGGATCATTTAGATTTTCTGCTATGATCTCTGATCGTGAAAAAACAAAGCTTATAAAAATATCATAGTTCTTACCTATGGATGTATTTACAGTAAAGCAATATTTAACTGAGCGTTGTTTAAGGTCTATTAAAGTCCTTCAAGCAATTCTGCAAATCCACCTTAAAACCGGACAGTCTAATTTAAACCAGGATGGCCAAGGGAATAACGTTACCACAGGTTTGTACCACCTACGCCTGCGCTACAACCTCGCTATTGCACAATATTATACAAACAGCACTTGTGCAAATGAATTAATTATAAGGGTATTTCAAACGCCATGTTGTTTTTCCTCGCTTTTAAGCGCGTTGACGTCAGTAGTTGCAGCTGATGTGAGCCGAGTGAAGCTTTGCTCTTCTCTTTAAATGTAGTAAGCCTATGTTTTTAATAATTTCATAAAACGTAAGCTTATGAATCGATGATTGATTTCCTTTCGGGGTACCTTTAGCACTTCACTAGGTACATTACCACGTAGTTGTACTTTATACGGATAGTTTATATCTGGGCTTGGAGAGTAGGCTATGTGTTGCTCTCCATAAGAACATCTACGCCGTACATAACACCCTAAAAGTTAGGCCGCTATTATTCTAGAGGGCACAACCTAAAATATTACTCTAATGCACAAACACTCAAAGTTTAAGTGTTTTCTTAATATTAAAATATCATCAACATTATACTGATATAAATTTCACCCCTCTGGAGTCAGCTCCTAGCCAATAAATCTGTCTTTATAAAAGTTGTTTATAAATACGCATTAATTGAAACGGTGTTCACGGGAAAACGCTAATTTCCTTCTAAATGAACCAGGCTATGTGTTGATATCTATCCATCCATACATCTTCTGCACCCGTTTGTCCGAGTCCGGAACCTCTCCCCATAGCTAGGGGCACAAGGCTCAGCGCAAATGTGGATATAAGTTTCTAATTTGTACAAAAGTAATTTAAAATGGTAGGTATTACAGGAAACCTAACCAGGTGTTCCATATAGATAGCCAGTGCCTTAATCCTTTTAATCTTTTAAATTAAACTTTAATTAAAATTTAATGTAATTAGAATTAAAATCGACTGAAAGTAATTACACTTCCCCGTGTATTTTAAATTGTAGGCTACTACTGGCCGACAAATATTATCCGACCTCTAATATAATCTAATAACATTAGTCAACTTCAGATTCTTCGCATGGGGTAATGAGGAGTCTAAGAGTACTTTTCCCATTGATGATATTTCTCGAACTGTACTGAGAATCTTCCCAATATGAAGGAGGCTCAGCAGACGCAGAAACGCATAAGGGCCAGAGGGGCAAAGAGGGCTATAGAGGGGCAAAGAGGTCTATAGAGGGGCAAGGAGGTCTATAGAGGGGCAAAGAGGTCTATAGAGGGGCAAGGAGGTCTATAGAGGGGCAAGGAGGTCTATAGAGGGGCAAGGAGGTCAAGATTAAGAAACTCATTGCAGTCCTCGATTTTCCACCAGCAGAGGGCGCATATCTTGTGCAAAATGAAGGGATCCAATTACGTTTTTCCCTTAAAAACGCATTATAAAATTATAACACACATAAGCTGTTCAGACTGGAAGTGTTTTTTAAATGACCACAGTCCGGTTTATAGTTGTTCTATTAGAGCCCAGGCATACACACAATAGCTCCATAACGTTCTTGTAGTACATCTAGCATTGAATGAAAGAGCCAGAAATGTTCTGTCCCTAAACCAGGGCCCCGTCAATCATATAGGCGACACTGGCGGCTGCTTAGGGCACCAACTTCTGAGGAAGCATCGCCTTGCCAGCCAATTTCACTTTACCTCGGACAGGGGGAGCTGTTAGCGATGCTCTCCTACGGCGTAACATTGGCTAGGACTAGTACTGCCCTCACCACTATTGTTAACAAATTCACTCTTTATTGGCTTCTGATGAAGTCAAATGGGTTTTATTGTCATACCATCCATACATCCATGAGGTAAAGTTCCCGCATTTGGGAGCTATAGGACCACAGTGCATCATACACATGAAAGGGGTTTACATGCAGTGTTGGGTATTTCAGGTCCAGAAGCTACAAATCTGGACCAATATTTAGTTTCTACCAACCACTTGAGTTCCCTGTGACCGTAACTCTTTATGCTCAACTGGTTGGTAGAAACAAAATCTTGGTCTGGATTTATAGTTTCTGGCCCTGAAATGCCCAATGCTGGTTATACAGTATTGTGCAAAAGTCTTAGGCAGGCAAAGAAAATGATGTTTAGATTATCCTCGTGTTGGTGTAAAACTATCATATTATGCCTGTCAAAGTGTGTCAGCGTAGCCATTTCAGAGCCTCTGCATGGACAGTGCAGCCATGTATTTCTTGACTTGGCCACTAGCACCTCATACAGCTAGTCAATCTGTCACTGACTTTTTAAACTATTTATTTAATTGAGCTGTTGGTGAAATTTAACAAAATCATGGAACGGCTGAGGTGCCCCTGAGGAGAAGTTTGGGAACTGAAGCGCTGTTCATCTAGCCATCCAACTAGATATCAGTAACTTTTTAGAAAACAGAAGAAATGATTACTAGTTTTTATTGTGTTACTCTTAATTTGCACATGTTCTAATGTTAAATTGTGTTTTTTGTTCTAAGCCAAAGCACACTTGCTACCCAGATAAACAGCTTTAAACATTTCTTTGGACTGCCTAAGACTTTTGCACAGTACTGTATGTACATGGAACTATGTACCAAACAAAAAAGCACAAGCGGTTGAACATTAGGCTACAAAAGACTACATGTATCGCAAGTAAGGACAGGTTAAGTGTAACCACACATGATACATACACAGGGTGGCGTTTAAGTACAGAAAGCAACCCAAGGAAATACATAGTTTAAAAAGTGTATATAACCCAGAGGAAACTGCTGTACAATACTTTTTATGCTGCAAATTTAAGTATATCAAAAACTTTCATGGATTAATTATAATTATAATTAAAGGTTTAGTATACTAATCATATATTTTATATTTTAGTACCCTGATTATGCAAACACAGGGAGTGCTTCACTTATCTTGAGACTATTATCGCCTTGTAATGACAGCTCTCCAAGCCAAAACAAATGAGCACAAACCTCTTTACACACTTAGTAATAAACTATCATTTAAAAAACAAAAAAAAAACTGGTCATCTGACCCTTTTACACACTCAATACAATAGTCATCATTCTTCTAATGGAGTCTATCCCAGGCAGCAGAGGGCGCTGGGTCGGATGACAGTCCATCACAGGACACGTATGACCTTATACACACACACTCACACACATATATAATATAGTCTGGAGGTGCAACAGAATTTTGCCGTCATGGTCAAAGGGGTTCTGATTGAAGGAAATCACTGATATAGAAAACTGACTTCAAAGAATATGAAATATAAAAAAAGACCAAATTCCTTTCAGATTGAAAAGCTTTTATTTATGGATGGATGGATTGATTGACAGGTGGATAGATGAATGGTACAACAACCCAATAATTTAATTTGTAACATTACTTATTTATATTTGAAATCCAAATTGCAAATCCAGTATACAAGAGTATATTTTTTCTGTGTAGAAAATTAATTCCAGTCCAGCTGTGTGCTGTTCATGTTTCTCTTCCACCATCAGTGATTTCTTGAGACTCCTGCATCAGGAGATGTGAAAGCTTGTGCTGGAGCTTCTGCTCACACACTTTATGTGTGCTGCTACACTCATTTTATGTGTGCTGTTACTCTCACTTTATGTATGCAGCTACACTCATTTTATGTATGCTGTTACTCTCACTTCATGTGTGCAGCTACATTCCCTTTATGTGTGCTGATACTCTCACTTTTTTTGTGTGCTGTTACTGTCACTTTTTTTGGAGGCCAAACATTTAATTGCCTGTTGTTTGGAAGCTTCCTCTTCAGCATGACTGTGCAGGTTCTGGGTACCATCAGTGAACCCAGATGCTTTGTGGGACGTATCAGATCACATGCAGTAACTCAGCAAGGCTGGAGAAGACCAACAGGATGCCAACAGCGAAGAAAAAGCAAAGGAAAGTTGTTTTCTCCTTGGACCCGGCGATAAAGCAACTGACATAACTGTGACAGGGTCTGTGTCGGCATGTGTATGAAGCTTCGACCTTGAAGCCGTACAGCCACCACTGTCCAATCACAAAAGCCGCTTCAATTATGATCCGGAAGACCACGCTGATGATGTAAATCCAGCGCAGGCGGCGGTTCTCCGCTTAGTCCTGCATACCAGCCCCCT